ATTTATGATAAGTAATTAATAGACTAATCTAAACTTACGGCAGTCGGCTAAAATACCATAACTGTAAGTTTTATATATATAATACAATTATTATAAATTTCTGTGTAATACAACAGATACAAGGTTCAAAATGAAGTAAAATAAAGCTAATACTACTACTTCTGTGCATAAAGTAAAATAATATTTTATTTTATTCGAAAATAGTACAGTCTTTTAACGCTCTCATTAAGAAATTTAATTATTTATTTTTAATTAACACTTAACTAAAAATCTTTACTATTTATTTTTATAATGTACAATTTTTAAATTTTATTTTTAATTAAAAACTGTGCCAAGTTAGTGAACTCTAATGTGTTCTTATCAATTTTTTAAATATGTATATAATAAAAATATTTTGTTTGTAAAACTACAAATTGCAAATAGTTTTAATTAGATTGAAGTTTATATTTAGTTTTTAGTTACATAATGAACTTCTACATTATTTAAATTATTATCTCCTTTTTTATCTAGTTGACGTTAAAAAAATACTATACCCGTAATTTGTATTTAAATTTAATGGGTAAGGAAACGGAAGTGCAGAAAAAGGTACACTTCCGAAATAAAAACAAATTTAATTTAAGCTACAATAGCTTAAATCGTATTTTATAAGTTTGTATTTAAGTACACAATTTCAAGAACACACAGAAATTAATTTGAAATATCGAAGGCTATGTTAAATAAGACTTAAGAATTAAATTCTTGAACTTTTATTTGTTTTAATATATTAATCAATTGCTATTCTTCCTTCAACTACCGCCTCAAATACCTTTTTCGCTGGAGCATCTTCATCCATTCTAACGACTTCGTCAAATCGGGAAAGCCGCTGGATATTTACTCGCTGAATTATATCAATACCTTTTTCAAATACCTTTTTCGCTGGAGCATCTTCAACCATTCTCACGGCACGATCAGCAAAACCGCTGGATGTTAATTCGCTGAATTATATCAATATCGTGATAAAGCTTGTGGTTCATACGTAAGCGGTAGTCGTCCAATTCGTAAATCTTACGAAGAACTTTTCTCTCAAACACTCCCAGTGCTACTTCTTCATTCTGTGATCACGTCTATACTTCTACGCTATACAGAAGCTTAGGAAAGATCACCGACCTATAGAGCGTAAATTATGTTTGTCGAGAGAGAGAGCTCTACATCCCAGTTGCCTACTGAGCTCATAGTAGCACCGATTAGCAAAAGTGATTCTTCGTCTAATCTCCAAGCTGACATCATTATTGATCGTTATGGCGGTGCCAAGGTATATGAGTACCAGTAGCCGACATATACTTCGTTTTGCCCCCATATAAGATATATGAGATATGATATATTAGATATAAGTTTGTAAGACTGTTAGAAAATTTTAGGAAAGTATTGAAGTTTTAGTTCTGCTATATTGACAAACAGTTCACGCTTTAAAAATTATTCAACAGCCGTTAAAACAAAATACTGCAAGTTCTAATTATAAATACTTTGCAATAAATTTTTTTTTTGAATTTGTCTTCAATTAGTTCAACTTAATTCATCCCTCTTACTTATGTATTTTAATTATTGTTCTGAATATTATAATGTTCTGAAATAACTTCTGTAGTTGTAGTTGTAGTCTTCAAAATGATCTAAAATTTATATTTTTCTTATCTTCGTTCATTTAAAATTTGTTTATTATATCTCTCAAAAATATCTCTTAAATTAACCTCTGTATACACTATTGATTTCTTTAGCTTAAGTATTTTAGTCAAACATGTCTTCGTATTTGCTGCAAATAAATTTTGTAACAATCTTATTTATTAATCTTATTCTAACATAGAAATATCAAATTCTAATTCTTGTCACAGATTTTAAGACTCGTTTGATATTGGTACTTGTTTCACTAAGTTAATCAACAATACCGGAAACAAATTGTTGACATCTTATAATTATGCATGAACGAATATATTTTAAGCTATTATTTTACAAATGACTTGATATTATTTAACAAACAGTTTTTTTGTAAATTGAATACAATGGAACAATACCACCCCACCGCGAAGGTGTGTTTAGCAACATTTTAAAATATTCAAATTATTTAACAAATTGTTACTATTACTGTTGTTATGGCATTTACTTTTTCATTTTTATTTTGCTCATTTGCATTTTTAATAGTTTTCCCCTTAATTTAGCTAATTTGATATTGTTCAATAGCATTTTAAAAGTTTTTTTAAACATTTTTGCATTACAATAATTTCGATAGAAATGCCAAATACAAATTGTAATAAAATTTAAAAAAAAATAAAACAAAATTAAGTGAATGGCAGATTATTTAATTTATACATAAAATTGCATGATTTCGAAATATGTTATTTTGACTAAAATGTATATTATATTATTCGCTTTTTACGGTTTTTTTCTTATAAAAAGTAAAACACAAAGAAATCTTTGTAAAATTATTTTTAAAACAAAATCAAATATTAACAAAGTTAATTGTGGAATTAAAGTCTGCACAAAATATAAAATTATATTGTATATGGGCATCATTTGCAAAAATTATATTTATTAAATTAATCTTATACATTACGACAAAAAAGACAATTCTTGTGATCAAACAAAAAAAAGAAAAAACAAATAAAATCCACAAAATTCATAAATTAAGGTATTAAGAATTACATCACCTTCTGCAGCTCTGTTACATTATATATAAATACCATATTTATTTATATTACTTGTATATATATTTGCAAACATATATTTACGTATTTATTATGTATAATTTGTTTTTTTTTTAATTCATATATATATTAATAATTTTACAGTTTTTAACATATTTAACAACTTCCGTTCACATTAGGTGAAATTATTTTTATTATAATTTCTTCATATATTTAATTAACGATACTTGAATATATGTATATATACATACATTGACGAATAGTGAATATTGTAGAAGAAAATTTGTTGCTAAACATGTTTGTTAACAATTTTATGCATTTATTGTTTTATTGCTTACCGCTTCATGCTTGCTGTGCCTGTTGATAATTTCATTATTAAAAATAATAATTTTTTGTTTTATTACTTTAGCAACAAATGTAATTTGTCAAATAAATGTCAGTGCTTTGAGGCAAAAATGTCAATCACATTTTGTGCCACCAACAGTTGCGCATAATATTAAAAATGTTTATGAATAAAACTGTATACATAAATGTATACAACAAATCTGACAAGTAACTTAAATGTCACTGTTGATACGCTATGAAATGTTGCAATACAAATCTAGTTATGTTTACTTTCCAGAAATTCAATGCTGTCAAAAATTGCTAATTCGTATTAGAATGAGTTTCTTATTAATTCTTACGAATTCTTTATAAAATATTTTTTCACCTGTTTATCTATGATACTGGACGTTTTACTTGGTTACCTCCAGCATTAGCTTAACGTCACCGTAAATCCCCCATTGGAATAAATTCCGCCAATAACAATGGAAATTATATAACTGGATATAAGTACCTATTTGTTGAGGAGTTACTCCTGTCTTTAACTTTGCTGTTCTTTGAGTCACTACCAGGTTGAAAAAATAAAAATTCGCAGTGAATGAAAGTATAAATGCGTAAACTCGTTCTGAATAACTTTAGAATATTGAGGAAGTCAACCGAAGTTGTCACCTCCTATATACCAAAGTACCAGCTATAAACCTCTGGTCAGGTGTCGCAAGTGAACCTACCGGTTTCGCAATACAGTGAAGCTTCTCGCTATCAAAAGCAATACATAATGATATCCGAAAGATAGTAACCATTTCTTTCGATAGAAAAGATGTAGGTGTAGTTGTAGATAATTCAACCAACTCTGGAAGTTAATCCAATCTCAGGACAATAAATGTTGTGGCCTCCTAGATACTGTAGTACCAGATAAAAACCTCAGGTCGGGTGGCGCAAGTAAACCTACTCGCTATCGGTTATACTCGAAAACAATGTATGATGGTATCGGAGAGATAGTAACCATTTCTTTCGATAGAGAAGATTTAGGTGTAGTGTTTTATGTTTGATTACACTAGATACGAGGTTAAGGTTGTAGAATTCTGATCACTTCGCTTCGCTTTTGTTGGGAATAGAGAACGAAAAACTCGACAAACGAATAAAATTTATTGACTCTGTCATGTAATGATTGACCAAAATCAACTCCTGTTTGTTAACAATTTCAAAACTGCTAAAAAGTATTTAAAAATTAAATACAATAATTGCCAATTTAGATTTTAAGGAAAATTCTATAATTTTTATAAGTGCTGTACGAATTTCTTTTATCAATAATAAATAACAATAATAATAATACAGTAATAACTAATTTCGAAGCCAAAACTAATTGAATTCCTTGTTTATAAATATCACAAACTTCTGCTGTAATTAATTACTAATGCATTAAAATGTTTCACATAATTATTTGTAATACATTATCGATTTTTAGATGCTTAAAAAAATTAATAAGCGCCATCTGTTCGTGATTTTGTCATCACACTTTTTGTAGCAAATCCAGTATGTTTGTTGCTCATACGCTATGTGGTAAGCATAAAATAATTGTAGTAAAATAAATTTGTAATTCATTCTCTGCGTATTTGTTTTTAATACATACTAGTATTATATTTAAAATAAATAAAATAACAAAAATCATTTGAATTACAAGCGTAAAATTGCATCAATCAATTTTAATATATACCAGTTAAAGACACATGCACGAAAGTCAGGCTGTGCGCAGCCGACGCTGTTATAAGTGTAAGTAACTCGAAGAGCCATGACATCAATTGAACTGCATTCGAAACGCTGATTTACTTGTTGATTTTTGCTACTGTTGTCTGCATTGTTGCCAGAGCTTGTAAATGTTGTTAATGCGCATGTATACTTTGACTTATTTGTACATTTCTCTGTTTCGCATAACATGCCGCCGCCGACGACATCAACATTATCATCGTCGTCATTATCAGCTTCATCAACATCGGTAACGTTGGCAACATCAAATGTTGATATTCAGACAAAGTGCAGTAACGTCATCACAATTCCCAGCGGTTTGTCATGTTTCTACACTTTGTTTATATAAAATTTGTTGCTACTGTTTTAAAAGTTTCTCTATTGTTGCCTAAAGCAAACAACATTGTTGGTGTTAATATTTTTTTAATGCCTTTTTCAAATGTTTTTTAAATTGATAGAATAAAACAAAAAAAAAAAGGTTGAGCTAAAACATTAATAAATTAATGTATACATATATATTTGGAATTGTTATTTTTTGTATTTGGTTTTGTTTAACAGCTAAAACGTATTAAAAATGTTTTCATTGTTAAATTGGCAAAGTTTTCAATTTCCTGCTTAACATTTATTTCATACACTAGTGTATATAACAAAAAAGTTTTTATTAAATTAACTATATATATCCAATTTGGCTTATTGCTTAATAAAGTTGTAAAGTTAAGTAGTACACAAGAAAAGACAAGCAAGTAAGCTGGTTGACGGACTGACAAGTGCGTCAACATAATTACAATTGCCAACCAGCAGCATTTTTTTGTTTGCAATAATTAAGTAATTACAAAGAAAAAACTATCTGTATTAAAACATAAAATAATAATAAATTGAAAATACACGCTCAAAATAAACGCAATTCGCGTGAGAAAAACATTTGAGACGGGTGTGTCAGCCTGCATACCTGCCTACCTGCATCTATTGTATGTCACTTGCGTGCTTTAGCAATGGAATTATAGGCTTAAGCTTCAGTGCAAGTCGGAACATTTTGTAATAAAACTTCAACTCGTCCACATAATTAAGTTATAATTAATTTGTTGTGTAAAGCAAACAAAATGTAACTGCTCTGACGTTTCATTGAATATTTTTTTATTCAATTTTTTTTTATTAGGTCAACAAAAAACTGGTAACAGAAATTTACTAAATAAAATTAAATGTTGTTAATTTTGTTACTATAATTAACACTTATCATCAGTTAGTTCCTTTTATGAGAACTTTAAATTTGGAATAATACACATCGATATGTAGACTAAACAATTTCGTAAACATATAAATTATGTTATTTAAAATACATAAAAAAATTAATAGAGATGTTTCAAAAAGTAGTGAACTACAACAACAAAAATTATTATTATGTCATTTTAATTAATTGAATTTTAAACTATTCAATTAAAAACTAAAACTAAATATATTTAAACTATTCATTAAATGAAGTTTTATAAACATTAAAAACATATTAGTTTTTAAAATATATAGAATGTAGGATATAACTTAAGGACAGTGTAGTTTAAAGATTTTTATATCTTTAAAATATCTAAAACATAAGATATAACAGGGATTGTGACACTAATTTTCTTTAAAAAAAATAAAGAAAATAAAATTATTTAATTAAATATGCAATAATTATTTATGAATTATCCATTTTCAAATGGAAATACTAATAAATTTTTTATTAAGAAAATTTAATTTGAATTAAGTACATTTAGGATAGACCCCAGTTAAAATTTTTTAAGAAAACTGAAAAAAATCATTAACATTTTTTGAAATGATTAATTTTAAAAGTTAATAAATTAATCAAGTTAACGTTTTTAAAAAATTAAAATAATTAATACCCTTCACACTAGTTCGTAAATTATTATGAAATTTTTTAATATATAAAAATTCATTGGTTATTATGATAGATATGATAAAAAATTTAATAAACAAGAACAGTCAATGCGAAAAGTCCATAAATTACTCTGAATAAATATATTTATTTTTTATATTTATAAGAATATTTTTGTCTATTTAATGTTTTTTTATATATATTATTTCCGGCAACATGTCAACTTTTTCTAAATTAAACGTTTATTTAATATTTTTAAAAAAATTCTATATTTCGACTTTCCTTGAAAGTCATGATCAGGACAAGAAATCAAAAAAGATACTTACAGCACTTTTCATATTATTTTAATGATTAGTTACTTGATTTTTATACTAATTTATTTATATCCATATAAATATATTGTAGCATTTACTTAATATTAATATTATTTACGAGAATCTAATTCAAAATTACTATACTCAATAATAAATAATAAACATATACGACTCAATAGTTATCATATAATCGACTGTGTTAAGATATAGCTTTCTAATACTATCAAATTTAACTTCTGCTTAATCTGGTTAATCATATAATTCAGAAATACCAGAAAAGAAATGAAATACCAGAATACCAGAAAATATCGAAAAACACGCAGTATTGTTTTTATAAGATAAAATCTTCTTTAAACCTCTTCAATACATTAATAATATCGGACATAGGCTTATAATAAAGAGATCCTGAAAAGTAGATATGGGAAATACAAGACATTGACAAAGTTTATGAGTAATATTTTTCTTCATTCGTTGGCATGCATATGTAACAGTGGTCGTTGAAAAATCTAACCAATCGACATGCCTGTCCATTAAACTTACTAGTACGGCAATTAATTGTATTGAACAATAAGAGATGAATAAGATTAATCAATAGCTCTGTTATTTTTCTGATTATATGTAATCTATGTCAGATCTGTAGTGCGTTTTGTTTTTATTTTATTATATTATTCTTTAAAACAATTCAACTGAAACCTAAGAGTTGATCATATCTACATATAGAAATTTATATTTTATAAAGTTTAGTGTTATTATTGCCGTTAGTTGGCCGTCAATATGAATATTTTTACGATCAACCACATATTTCAGTTCAACCGATGAATACAGCGATAAAATAACGTAAGAACAAATGGGGTACTGACACTCCCAACGAACTGAAACGCTACGACTATAGCTGCAAGCCGACCCTAAATGAACAGAATGTACTACACCTTTACAATAAAGGCCAGTAGTTGAGTTTATCTTAATATCAGACGGGGATTGGAACTCTCAGCGCAGTTATGTTCTACTGACCCATATTAAAGTAAAATAGTTGCATGAATGTTACTATCGGTCTCATCTGTCTTTAAGCAGAACTGACAGGTGCTTAGACTGATCTATTTTCTTAAAGCAGGCCATAATGACCAG